ACCTTAACCGGAAGATAAGAACAACATAATTCAATCATTTTTAAAGCAAAAAATGTGCAATTTACAAACATATAAAGAGTAAAGAAACTGAAATCACTGAACCGGGTAACAGAGTGGATATATATATATAAATATATACTTTTGGTGCGGCCGATTGCAACCAAAATACGAGGTGCACATCTATATGTTTTAGCAGTCCTATATACAAAATTGCAACTTTCTGAGGCTACTTGTTTTTGAGTTATGCGAGATACGTACGTACGTTCGCACAGACGCCACGAAAAATTCTCTTTAGAATTCATTTTAAAGCAGTTTTTTAATTTTTGGGGAGGAAGTCTTTTATTCTGTCCTTATGTACAGATGTCACCCAAAAACATCTTTAAATTGCATTCGATAGCGGTCAAAACGGATATTTTCGTTGAAATATGCTGCCTGAAAATTTTCGCGATTACAATACTTCCTTTTTACTTCGTACAAGGAAGTAAAAATTAAGAGAAATACGATAAAATAAAAAAAATAATAAAAAAGTGGTAAAATACCAGAAGGAACATTACAAGACTATGAACTATATATACAAAACCATGCTTAACTGTAATACAAAAAATTTATAGAAATCCCAAAAGATTGGAAGTAAATGTTCAAAGCATGGCTGGACATGAGCGCTTAGATGAGTGTTTCGTGAGCTGCTAGTGGACCCCGGGGCGGGTTTTTACAGCACTGGATTCGTGTGGTCATTTTTATGGGGGCGTCCAGACGCCGCCTTGAGAAAAGCTAACTGATAACACGTGGGGTTTCGCTCGGGGTGCATCTCTCGGCAGCGAGCTCTGGCATGGGCAGACCGCTTGGAAGGGGGATGATTTTTCCCCCCTCCGTTAAGTCCAGCGATACGTGAAAGACCTTTGGTTATGTAGGAGCTGGCTTAGCTTCGTGTAATCTATGCTGTTCTCTACTACAAAATTTTGTAAAAAATGAATTTTTATACGGGTTCAAAATGAAGTATTATCTGCCAATTATCCGAAGTCCGAACAAGTTGGGTTAAGAAATGCTGCTTTTAATAAATGTTTTTTTTAATATGAGGAAAAGAACTTATTGGTTTAAGGGTCTTTAAGAAAATTTGAACATTGTGTGGAGAGCATTTGTTTTTAATTATTCCATTTCCTAAGCGAAAATTAGTTACGTTTACTTTTATTAAACGACTTACTAGCCCTTGCTTTTGACTGATAAATGAAAGCTTTTAAATGTAGGTATAAATATGAAGAGAAGCCGCTACACTGGAATAGGAATAAATTATGAAGAGTTGGATAGTCTTGACAGGCGTACATTATAATGAGAACGATTGGTTGGTTGGGGGATGCAAAGGGTAAGGGATTGATTCGAGGGGTTGGCTGCTTAATGCTTTCATATTCCATCTTAGTTTTCATATATTATCGTAGTCTGCTTTTTAGCTTTGTCTGTAGGCCTCTGCAAACTAGAAAATGCATGTTATGACATAGGCGTGCAAATTTTGAAAAGTTCTAGTTTTTCGTTATCGCAGTCCTAATCTTTCGATATATGGTGCAAAGTAATTGTTGCGATTAACATATCGTAGGTAAAATAGAAGTATACCTAATATTGATTATGGCAGCAGTTCTCAAACTTTTGCGTTGTCAACATTTTATTGGAAATATTTGATCAATGTTCAAACTCTTTCACAAACTATCAAATTGCTGATGATTGATAACTCGTCAGTGTAAAGGAAGTACAGTCTGAAATTCCATTATGCACATACTTTGATGGTGCGGACACCAGGGATTGGGAACCCATGGGCTGGGCATTCAGAATTATTTATTATCTAAACTAGGAATTGTCCGAGTATCGTCATCCGAATATCTAAACTATCAATTATTATTATTTCACCGGATATTTTTGTGAAGTATTGATTTCACCATGTATTTCTGAGGAAAAATTATTTTATTTCACGTACAAGACATTAGACAGAGCCATGTAATTGAAGAGGAAAGACTATGAATATGGCTCTGATTCCTGAAGTCTTATTTTCAGTGTTACTGTCATTTGACTTCTTAATTAGTAAATCTTTCTAAAATGGAATTGTAAGGATTTGCGGACGCCTCAGTATAGCGGTCGAGTTTAGAAAAGCTGGATCATAGTCATAGAAATTGGTTCCCTATGGGAAGAAAGTTAAGAAAGCACGATTTTCAATGACTTTATAGTTCTAAGCAAAAGGCTGAAAATAATTTCAATAGTGTGTGAATTACCGGCATTGCAGGAAGGACAGCCATGTATAAAACCAGAAAAACAAGGAATTAATTAATATTTTGAATTATGTAATAAAACGAATTTTTTGTTATCTGATTTGATTATGTCTTTGAATCTGATTCTTTTGTTCATTGAGAATTTGATTGTTTTATGTGGAACATAGATGTTAAACGTTAAAAAAAATAAAGCTTGGTTAGAAAGTCATGACCTCTTCCATCAGAATAAATGCAGTGTAGTGTATTCTTTAAAAAAAATTCGATTGACTTCCCCCCTCCGTGTCTCCATGTTTGATTTCCGCTCCCCCACCACCCGAAAAAAAAAAAGGAAAGAAAAAAATACGTGCTACAATAAAACAACAGTAGTGAGAAGACCGTCTTTTAGGTGTCTAAAAATTTTAAACTTCCGTAGTGAAATTCAAGACGTGTACTTCGATGTTTCCCGGATATGGAGTACTTACTAAGGATTTCCTGTCGAAATAATCTTAATTTCACGATGTCAATGATCTTAATTTCACGATGAAGAATACGTATTTTTATGATATTTGGTTGGTTTGAAAAACCTTTAATGTGTCCCTCAGAAATTTCTGTGTAAAAAGAGGGAAACATTTCTTTCGGATCTGATCTGAAGTTTCAATCCTTTTTAGTTTTTGCCTGCCGAGTATCTAGCTCCTTATCTGTGCTACGATTAAAACATTGTATTGAATGACCAGAAGGTGAAAACTAATATGTCGCACTGCTTTTAAGTTGTATGTTCGGTATAGCCTATGTTTATAAGCTTATGATGTATGTGCGGTAAGAGAACACTCAAAATACATGCGAATTGAAAGAGTTGTCAAGAGGTTGTTAGGAAAGAAAGAGTGGGTGACCCTTCCCCCGGTTGTTCTTCCTCAGCATTAGGGCAGAATTGCACAGTGGTTAATTTCTACTGTCTTACCTACTTCTTACCTGTAATTTCTGTTCGCAAGTAATCACTTCAACTACTGGCGGGCAATTAATTTTTGCTGTTCAGAACTTTAATGGAAGTTATATCGAGTAATATCATCGTAGTTCCATTTATCACAGAAGCTTTCACTTCCTTCCAATTTTATTGCCCGGGTAAAGACCCAAAAAAGAATGAAGTGTGATGCAGCTAATAAAACTAGAGTTATTTTAAAACTGGAAAGAAGAGGGCCGGGTTAACGAAGCAGAAATAAGTAAAAGATTATATGCTTTAAAAATATCAAACACTTCTTTATTTTACTTATTCGTTTGCTAAAATATATGAATTAATATCTATAAAACACTTAAGAATAAATTTTTAATTAGGTGGATGCTATAATGTTTTTAAATGGCCTGCGTAAAATAATCTTAAAAACAAATAACCCGTACTCAGTATTTATCCCGGAAGTAGTATTCCAATAAATCATTACGTAAATTTCTAGGTTACCGAAAAAAATCGTTTTTATTTAATAATTAATTCTTTTAAATTAACGCTATATAAATTTTACTTTTAGTTGTTGAAAGTGCCTTTTATATGATTTGAGCAGGCAAAGTTAAATAATTTGCAGCCTAGCATTGACATCATATCGCTATAATGTATGTTTTCTATACAGGTATTCCACATATAACACGATAGCTAGATAAGTAGAAAATATCGTGTATGCTAGACTAGCAACCAATACAAAATAAAGGGATGCGTTCTAGGAAAAAAAAAAAATATATATGATTCTCACTGTTGCCATATTTCAGTGTAGACATTTTGCAACCTGCAGTGCCTTTTCTCCTTTAACAAACAATTCAAAATTTATATTTTCATCGCCAAAGGAGTAATTTTTTTTAAAGGCTATTGTTTTGCTTTCGGACATAGTTTTGGGACTGAAATATAATTTCGCAATGGTTACTCCTAAAAACGACAAAGCAAAATGGTAACACAAACCCAAAAATTAATTTAAAAAAAAAAAAAAAAAAGTCGTTTTCTAAAATCACAGTTTGAACACTTGGAGCACAAAATACTGATGGACACCACTCAGCTTCAAAAGAATTTCGATGTGAAATAATGCAGATATTCTCAGAATTTATTTTATTTTTGTGTGTGTAAATAAATAGAAAATTTGTGTGTGTAAATAAATAGAATAGTTATTACACACGATGGCATAGTACATTATTTTGCAAATGTTTAAAAATCGTGTTTTCGAAATCTACGTATATATAAAGTATTATTAAAGGTTTTATGCATATTTATTAATGTTCTAGAATGAAACTGTTTGCCGTGTACTATACCAGAGTTTCTGTAATTTTCTTATCGTGCAAGAGCGAAACCGTGTTATACCTGTATATACATGTGTTAGAAATGCCTTATGAACGTCAATTACTGTTTCCTAACACTTTTTATGACGTTTCTCCACTCTGTACCTGTAAACCAACGCAATCCTTAATCGTATTCTTTAGATAATTGTGAACATTTATACGATCAAATGAGCTTAAACTTGGAACATTTGCAGTACTTATCTGCAAGCATAAAAGTACTCCTCCAGATTTAAGTTGTTCAACTTAGTAATGATGTCTAAAAATATTGAATGATCAATTGCTTACAGTTAGTTTTGACTGCTGATTCATGTTGCAATTTTATATTGATTCTGGGCTGGAGAGCCCGATTGCCATTCGCGGCCGTTTGCGAATTAGCTATTTTGTAGCATTCTATGGTGGCGTATGCCATGCGCGGAAACCACACGGCGGCTGCGTCACGAGCGCTGCTGCCACTTCCTCCGTAGTTCCGCGGATGGACGGCCACAGCGCACCGTGCTTCTTCGCTTTCCTCTAGTTTCGCTACGGCCCGCTCCTCTTTCCAACTGACGGAAAAACGTAAACAGTTAAAAAGTATTATTTTCATACAAACCTAGAAGAAAACAGGAAGAAACTGGCTGTTCTGTGCGCACCTTATACTCGTTGCGCTGCCGTCGGTGGTGTTGGTGGTGGTAATTCCATGTTGATTGAACCGTACGCGACGGCCGTCCGACCTCATCCGCAGCTGGTATCCGGCGCACTGTGTCCGGATCCAGCAACCGTGTCATCTACTGATGCTCTGACTTTGTTCACTCCTTGGGCACCGTCTTCGCTTGTAGGAATCAGCGGCGGCGGTGCTACTCCGGCAGCGGCCGGCAATCCGTATGCTGCCGCCGCAGTCCCGGCTGTGGTACCCCAGCAGCAACAACAAACCGCGCTGTTTCGTCCCGCTGCCACCTCGATCCATGCCCTGCGGGCCGCATCCTTACTCCACCAGCAGGTACTGATGAAGATGGAGATGACGACACAGACGCCCATAGTAAGTACCGAATTCCATTCTCGGATTTTTACTCTTCCTCACAAGCGCGACTTCGCTTTCTCTCTTTTCTTTTGCTGGTGGCGGAATCCCTCCCTTTTTTGCGTCCAAAAATTTATTAGTAGTGTGGGATGTTTTCTTAGTATTTTTATTTGAGCTAGCCGTTGTATTGTTGTTTGAAATGTAAATTAGTTTTTGACTCATTCGAGACCTTGTTCCATCGATTTAAACTTCCTATGAAATGAGGACTAAGGTGCGGCGCTGAGCATACTATGTTGCTAACTTCTTGGCAAGACACCCAGTCCGAAAATCGATTTCCTGTCGTCGCTTTTATTCTATACCACTCTAACGCCATTTCTGAGCGAGAACATATATTATTATTCCAAATTATTTCAATTCCTTGTATTTTTAGCTTTTCTTTTTTAATAATGAGCTTGTTTTTGTTGATATGAAATTGAATTTAATTAAAAACGTTAACTTTATTTGGATTTAATTGTATTGCAAAAGAATCTGCCTCTAAAAATTTGTGAAAATATGTTTATCTATTGGCTTTTTTTAGGTTATCGATTTCATATTTCATTGTGAAAATTATTAAAGAAAGAATTATATATTTTTGTTAAATGTGCTAAAACGTGTGTGTATTTCAAAACGCCTTAATATACACAATTCCATTTTATTTATAATGGGTGGTTAAGTGATAGAATTTATTCCCCAAAATTTGAATAGCTTGGTGAAAAGAAATTTTTTTAATAAGTTCCTTTAGTTATATTGAGTGTAATATTAACTAAAAGTTTGTTGTTATGAGAAAAACATTATCCGTTAAAATTAAACAGGTTTTTTTTTTGTTGTTGTTATAAATTAATTTGAAAGATCTGTATTTATTTTCATTTTTAGCTTTTATTACAAACTATTATTTAAAGGGGGAAGGTCATTTGCCTTTTTGCGTGGTTTGCTTGGCAAAGTACGTGAAGATCCATCTGAACAGAAGACACTTGAGGATTTTTTGAGCTGGTCTCGTATGCACGTTACGCGTGGGAAAAACCACTAATGCTATTTTGGATATGCTACTTAGTTTTCATTTTTTAATTGAAATGTCTAATTATATAAAAGAAGGGTAAGGCAGAGATTTAAAATGGTTTGAAGTAATAGCAGTAATGGAGGTTGTATGAGCAAAATTTACCTTGCTTGAATATTTATTGAACCCATTTCGGTCATCTGATCGATTCAGCATGGAAGAATTGTGCAAGATCCCATGTCCGGTGATTCAGCATGGAAGAATTGTGCAAGATCCCATGTCCGTTATCTGCCCATTTCCTAAAGGGCTAATGTCGAAAACCATAAAACACTAGTAGCTATATCAGAAGTCCTTTTCTCATTTTCCATCAGCTGGATAGGCTACTTAACATCGGTATTTTTTAGGTTTCTCCACATTTGTATCGTCAGTATAAGCAAGGGCTATGTTATATATTTGAAGGCATTTCTTTCCCTTCTGCTAGGTAGCCGTGGAATGATTGCCAAACCTATCTTCCAGCGCATAGAAAATCTCTACCTAATATTTAATTAACTTCCAGCGTGTAAAAAAATCTATACCTGATCTTTATTAAAACGTAACTGTAGCAATAAAGTAAGTAGAATAGAATACTGACTAGTAGTTTCGTCAGGAAGTTGTATTCAAAGGCATTCAAACTTTGGTTTAAACAGTTAAAAAGCTTGATATCTTTGTCTAGTTCCAAATTCTCAGGAAAAGATAGAGCTGTTCACTGTTAACTGATTTATTTCGACTTACGAATAGCTTAATTGGATTTCTGCATAATCCGTTAATTTTTGTCTTTCCGGTCGCATTCCTTCTTGGATCACTTCAGTTGATCGATGTCTCATTCAGTTTATTCATTGATCGTCATCCGAAAGAAATATATTTTTTTCTGGAAAGTAATCAGTGACCAGCGACATTGCCGATGATGTGATTGATTACGGTGTGATCGATGAGCGAAGCCACTCCGATATTTTCTCCTTCCTTGGATTTCCTCTACGCTTTCGATGGTCTTGGCATTCTTTGGCATCCTGCGTTCATTGGTCTTCCAACACTTATAACTTTTAAATGAAATCTGCTTGAAAGGTGCCTATAGGTTTACATCTGTACAGAACAAACTGTGCTGTTTTATCCAAAATGCGTGTATGAAGGATTTGAATAACTTAGTTACTTTGTGAGGTTAAAGGGAGCTGCCCTGTGGATGCGTAACGAATTGCAAAGTTCATTTTGATAAGCTAAAATTTAGCTAATCAATTAAGCTGGCCAGTTTGCGTATAATCCGGACATCAGCATTTTTGATAACGCTTGAACGTTGTTCTGTGTACCATTCCCCCTTAAATCAATCATTTTATGCAAGTTTTGGAGGAACGTTCATTTACGCGATTAATTACTGTGTGAATAAAATCATGTTTAAAAAAAAATAACGTAAAAGAAGGATTAAAGCCAAGGTTTCCTGTTTTCTGTTAAGTATTCCGTTTATCATTTTGTATATAAATTATGTTTTTCCATAAACGTGCAAACTGGTTCATTTCACTTGAATTCACTTTAAAAGTTCAGTCGCAGTATACATAAGAAGTTTTGCCTTCAGTTCTGATAATTCGCCATCTCTAGCAGAAGTTTGAATGTGAAATGTGTGGATTTTCTGATTATTTTAAATAATGGTACGCCTAAATTATTAAACGGCGGAATCGTGGCAGCATTGAGAGCTAGTGAGCTTTGCGGGCGCTGTGGGTCTGAGAAATGAAAAGGCAGTGGAGTGTGTTCCGTGGATTAAGTGTAATGCATTTTTAAAATTAAAAGCTCCTCTTTCATGGTGTTTCTATTAGCAGCAGCGACGGGATTTAAGGGATGAATTTTCAAATTATCTGCTGCACTCAAATCGACTTATAAAAACATGCGTGTTTTACTAGGTCAATGCTTTTATCTCTTCTTCGAAATGTTGCAAAGATAGTCTAATATAAAAATATTTGAAAAAAGTTTTATATTGTACATGTACTATGTCAGTACCAGTCAGTTTTTCAATGAGAACGGGCATTTGTCTCTTTCCTTTTCAGCCGAAACAATTAAGCACCGTGTTTAAGGTGAGGACTAGTTATTCCAGTTTCGTTTAATTAGTTTTTTTTTTTTTTTTTTTTTTTTTTTTTTTTTTTTAGTAGTTCTTTATAATTTTAAATGTTGTTAAAATAAACTTTTGCATATGTAAAATTTCAATATGGAAGTGTATTATTAAGTGCTATATCTGTATTATAAAGGAGTTTTAAAAAAACGTATTTAGAAAACGAAAAAACAATTTAAGACATAAATTTTGCGCCATGTGCAGCAAAATTAAAAAAATAATTCAAGAACGCAAAACTTAAAACGAAAAAGAAAATACCGCTTAAATATTTGAAGGCCAACCTATTATCTTCGTGAAACAAGTTAAATTAGTGAAACACACATCAAAGTGAAATACGAAATTAAAAACAAAAATGTTTAATACTTTTGTTTTTGATTTGGTATTTTACTTTGTGTTTCACTAATTTAACTTGTTTCACGAAGATATAGGTTGATCTTCAAATATTTAAGCGGCATTTTCTTTTCCGTTTGAAGTTTTGCGTTCTTGAATTATATATATATATATATATATATATAATTTTACTCGTAAGATATTAATAACTAAAAGTGAAAATCAGTAATGTTTGGTAGTAAATAGCAAGACTTTTCGCTTTAGGTTCATTACATAAATTCCGATGGTCCGTGCACCTATTTTGAAGAAGGAGAAAAGTCCTTTCGGAATTCAAGTGTTAAAGCTAATCATTCTTGTTTCGGTTATCTCGAATATATGCCTTTCCAATAAATTCATTTTATGAGAAATAAATTGTAAAGTTAAAATGCCTGAATAACGAAATGGAAAACATGAATTAATCAGTTGAGAAATATGACCATTGTTCTACAAGTATAACGGAATTAATTTTTATGGGTATGATCGAGTATTTCATTTTCTAATTAATACAACAAAAGATCGGTAGTTCCGATATTTAATATGTAAGCTGAGCAATATGTATTTCATTTTAAGATTAATTCCACTGTGAAAATAAGTGGCTTCTGTTACAGAGATGTTACAATAGAACCTCCTTTATCGGAGTTTATTGGAGCAGAACCATAAAACGTGAATGCTGTTTTTAATGTTTGAAAGTGATGATTTATGTTCATTATTTTCAGCAGTTAAAAATAGCGAAGAATTGCGTTAATAGCTAGTTTATACATATACATTTAACGTTCAGTACCCTATTTAAAAATGCTGCAGTGTTACTATGCTTCAGTCATCGCTAAGGTTAATATCAAGGACAATCAAGAAAAGGGGGCACCCAGAATTCCCATCGCTAGTTCTACCCCATGGAATGCATGGTGCAGCTAAACCAAAGACGAGAGAAAAAATCAGAAAAAACTGTTGTAAAGTAAGGCACGAAAATCTTATCTGAAGATCTTAATCCAGCCTTGGTTAACATACACTTTATTTTTTTTAATAGTCTTCATGCATCTTAAGCGGTAGTAGTGTCGGGAGTAATTATTGTCGAAATTTAAAAATTGTAATGTTTTAAACTTACGGCTAAAACAAAACTGAAAGTAAAATTAATTTAAACTCGGTCTATGCGGTTGTAGAATACTCTGGGATAATCCTTAATAAAGAATGTAAGCATTTGTAGGGGGTTGCCAAATAAGATTAATTCCTCCCAGTACACTTTAGTATTTCAGAGAAAGGAAGTGTTTAATTAATCTTCACTTTGACATTTTTGGGTAGTTTAGATTTCTTCCCAAGCTTCCCAAGTTTTCTTGTTTAGCTGTCTTGTGAATGACGGAGCTTTCATCCCATTCCTGTCGAAAACTTGTTTTGAGCCCCATTTCCGTTGTTTCGCTCAAACATTTCCGTCTGAAGGCCCGTCCACACGAATACGCTCGAAACGTAGCTGACGAACGCGCTTTTACGTTACCA